GCATGAAAGCCAAGTAGATGACTTTGGTCCAATCACCAGGAGGCGGTGAGTTCTAGTTCTGCCTTAGGCGTGAAAGCTTAAGTGGGTGGCTTTGAGACAATCACAAGGAGATGGCTTAGCCCTGGCTGAGTGACTTCGAGCCAATGATTCTCTCTTGAGTCCAACCCAACTCACAGGCTTAATATTATGAGGAAAATAGGAGGAGCAAAGCATGTGGGATATCTTAACTGCCCTGAGTTACTTGTAAACGTGATAAAGGCAGGATACAAACGAACGAATGAATGAACGGATGATAAAATGGGTCTTGCCTCTTGCCAAGAATGATTCACAATGTAAAAGTTGCAGGAATACTGATCTCAAAAGAAACTCCTGGGATTTGGGTGGCCATTAAAGACTCAGTTATTTTGTTCTTAATTAAGGGCCCCAGTATTCTTAATTAAGGGTCCCAGTAATTTTGGAATAAGTTTGTAATAGGGTGACAGGGTCTTTTAACAGTGGTGGGCTTCAAAAAGTTTAGCAACGGCCTCTCTGCTCGGTTGCTAGGTGGGCGTGGCCTGGTTGGCCTTCTGCACCACGATGGGGGGGGATGTTTTGCCCTCCCCATGCTCCGGGGGCTTTTTTCAAGCCTCCGGGAGGGTGAAAACGGCCTCCCTCGGGCTCTGGCCGCCCATTTTTCGCCCTCCCTGATCATCTGCGTGGGCCCAGTACTTACCTGACATCCCAAATGGACCACATAGGGATTCTTGGGAAGAGTGGGATGGGAGGGGGGGCAGGGTGGGCATGGCCAGCCAGAAGTGGGATTTGCGGGTTCTCTGAACTGGGCAGATTCTTAGCTCGACGTGAAAAGCCCTGATTATTAAGTGTGTAGGCTCCGTGATCCCACTCTGTGCATCCTCAGTGGGGCCTTCAACATAACTTGGTTAAAGTGAATGTCTGGTGATCCGAAAATCTAAATTAACCTTCTTCAAGTCAAAAGGGACATTCTCAATTGGATCAATTACGATTTGATAAGGGAAGAAATTCACCGCTGACATCTCGTGTGTTAGAAGGGCACTTTGAAAGTAGAAAGAGATTTTTTTAAAAAGGCTCAATAAAAAAGCAGAAGAAATAAGTAGAAATTTCAGCGAAACAATGGAGAGAACTAACTTTAACTACAGTTAGTAAAACCTTAAATTCTGGAGACTGGTGAATTATGGAATGTATTTGCAAGTACTGCTGAGAACTCTTAACTGTTGATGTATTTTCAGACTATTTTTTTAATAAGTTTATCACCACCTCATATTAGGAGATTTAAGTAAGAAATCCCAAATAGGTAGTTACAGAAGCAGAAAACTAAGTCAATACTAGAATGTGCAGAAATGAATAGGTTAACACTTGAAATTAAAGAGAAGGGACATTTTGATTATTATAACACATGGGAATTATTTTATCAATGGTTAGAGAATAAATATGAAAAGTGGAAAAAAAGAGAGAAAGAGAGAAAATGTTTTAATAAAGTTAAAGAAGTAAAGAAGAGGACTGTTATAGTATTAGGTATGGGATATCTTAATATCAGTATTAAGTTAAGAAAAGATAAAATAATAAACATGACTGTAAATTGTAATTGTATAAAACATTTGCACAAAATACTTGTACCCAGATGACACACTGTTTAAGGGAAGATGAGGTTTGAATTAAAATAAAATAAAAAAACTGGAAAAAAAAGAAAACAAAGTCCATTTTCTCCCCCCACCCCCCAAAAAAATTGCAGACAAAAATGGAGCAAGGGACAGTTTTAAGACTAGTTGAAGGGAAATTATAATTTAGGTTGCAACCAATTTACCATTGCTGCAATATATTTTTTAATCGCACCAGTGAACTTTATTCTTGAGTGGAACAAGAATACCACGGACAAAATTTTATTCTGGATTTTTATTCAAGAAACTGGAGGACAGGCAAAAGAGAATAATATCCCCCCCCCCGAAATATGGGTCAAAATGTTTTGTTTTAGATAAAAGTCTGAATATGCAAGGTTAGCAAAAGGCCCACTGTTTCTTATATTTATGGAGCTGTGAGATAGTTTCTTCTGATATCACCGATTAGCTTTGCACGGGAATGCAATAATGCAGCTAGAATTTCAATTCATTGCAAGTCAGATTTTATTAATCAGATTTAAACTGGAACTGTCAGGAGCACCGGGGTGTCATAGAATAGATGAGATTGAAAGTCATCTGAACTGATCTCTAAAATAATTCAATTGGGGGGACAGTGGAAAAATAAAATGCTAAAGCCTTTTTTATTTCGTTGTACGCCTTGGATACAGAAACGAGGTATATGGGATCATGCTTTTATTTCCAAAATTAGCACCGCCTAGAATAATGTTTCAGAGTTGTAGTTTTAAAATGAAACCATGACATTAAATGTTTTAGTGGTTATCAGTTTTCTGCCAATAAATCATCCGCAGTGAAAGCAATATGCTTATTTGATGTTGATCGTTTCAATTAACACAAAATATATGTATAATTTTTACAATTTTGTATTTGTTTTAATGGTATGAAATTCTGTATCGCGCTGCTGGATTTATGCTGTTGCTCATTTTGCATTATGAGATGAATGTCATCTGTGCAGGAATAATGTTGAAGCAGTATTTATGGTTGACTTTTTAAGTATTAATATGGAAACAACCCTTCCTTAAAATAAAGGCTCCTATTTCTACTAGTAAGATTGCAATTCTATATGGGGCTTCTAAATAAATGACTAGGATTAAGGTTCAGGCGTTAAGATAACAAAACTAAAGCAAGTATTAAAAATACAGTGGGGGCAGGGGAATGAAACTCAACGTAGTTTCAGGTGTAATAAATGGATACATAAATCCAGCAATGAAATTATTATTGAAAATGCATAGTGGATGTTTGGTATTTATTCCATCCAGCCTTCACACTCTTACACCGGGCCCTGGTTTTAAATGGGGTTTGTTGAATTAATTCTTACCAAAAGCCGTAATTTATGTAAGTTTGTAGTTTCAAACTGAAGCCTCTCCCCCCCCCAACCCCTCCACCGAAGGTGGATTCTTACTCTTTAATTTTGCAGCGCAATCTTTTGCATTCCATCGAAACCATGATCTGGCTGATGGAAGATCCGTACCATTCTATAAAAAAACCCCAGGGTTTACAAAACCAAATGGCTGAGTTTGCGCATTGCACGAAGCTACGAAGAGTAATCTACAAGATTTCGGTTCCTAATCTGGGAGAGAAATTCAATCTCCACTGTGGAATAAATCTGGCAAACAAATAGTTAATCTTAATTGGTTGGAGAAGCTGTAGTTACACATAAGCCATTAATAGTGGTTTGTCCCCCCCCCCTGAGAATGTATAGTATGCTCCAACCCAAGTTTTTAAGAGATTGGACAACCACTTGTCTGAAATGGTATAGGGTTTCCTGCCTGAGCAGAGGGTTGGACTAGAAGACCTCCAAGGTCCCTTCCAATTGTTTTTTCTCTTCATTCTATCCTATCCTTTATTCTGATATTCTATTCTATTGTACTCTCTATTCCATTCCATTCTCTATATTCTATTCTATTCTATTCTATTCTATTCTATATTTCTGCTCTCTATTCCATTCCATTCTGTATTCTATTCTATTCCAATCTATTCTATTTTACTCCTATTCTATTCTATTCTCTATTCCATTCCATTCTCTATTCTATTCTATTCTTTATTCTATTTTGTTCTGGTTCTCTTCTTAGTTCTCTTCAGTTTCTAATTTTCCTTCTTTCCCCTTCCATTCTCAGTGTAAATTTTAATTAATATTGTTTAGGGTTGGTTATTCTCCTTCTTCAGGGGCTGTGGTAGGGCAGGAGAGATCTGATAAATATCCAGGATTTCCCCCCCGTTTCTCTCATTCTTTTTTAAAAAACATTTACGTGAAGCCACTCTGGAAGATCAACCATTGGGATGTGGTCCAGTGGTAGGATTTAATTTTTTTTTACTACCGGTTCTGTGGATGTGGCTTGGTGGACGTGGCAGGGGAAGGATACTGTAAAATCCACATTCCCTCCCCACTCCAGGGGAAGGCTACTGCATAATCCCCTGGGACTCGGCAGACAGAGAATAGATGGGGGTGGGGCCAGCCAGAGATGGCATTTACCTGTTCCCCAGAACTGGTCAGAACTTGCTGAATACCACCTCTTGATGTGGTCCCATAACACTGACACAGTGGGAACACCTAGTTACATCCTCAACTTCATATGATGGTGCCCGGAAGGTTGGAGAAGCAGTGATTGTATCCTTCCAGGAAGAAGCACCATCTTTAATTCAGAATGGGCTTCTATTCCACCATTTGGAGATGGCTCAAAATTTTGAGGATCCTTCTTGCACTCACAACTCCTGCTGAACAGTAGGCGATAACTGTGGCCAGATTTCGTAACTTGTATGTTATTGGCACTCCTTCTTGGGCTGAGACACCCTGCTGTGGTTGTTCCTTTGTGTTAAAAATAATAATAATTACAATCTTTCCCTGGTTGCTTTCACTTTTGTCAATTTAGTGTCAGATGTAATTATATTTCTGCCCTGTCTCACACGGGAACGAACAAATCCTTTAATTTCTCAATGACAGGTTTAAAAGTTTACTTATTCGGAGTTTTTTTCCTGTCTCTCCTTCATATGTTCTTATACTATGTTCTGATAAGCATTATCCTCAGAAAAGAACGTGCAAAGTATAGTTAACAAGGAAATTATTAATGGCCAATTTAGAAGTACATTATGTGCTTATTTATCATCTCTGGTTCCCCCCCCCCCAACGATTTGAATTATGCAAACCAACCAGCCTTACAAGTTTATAGACATATTTTGATTAAAAATGGATATATGTGTCACAATCTGATAAACTTTCATGATGTATTGGAATGCATGTCATATTTCACATTTGTTGGCTACATTTGTGGAAATAAATTTGGAAGACATTGTTATATATTTAAGATGCAGATACTGTAAACATCAGAGTATACTTAATGGCAAGGTTTATTTTATTTTATTTAACAATTAGAAGACAAAACAATTAAAATTTGCAGTTCAGAACATGCACATTCACGAAATGCCAATGACATGTAACACTGCATAGAAGTGAATATATTATTAAAATTTAATAACATTATAAAACAGTGCATTTAACATCCATTTAAAACGAAACCTGAGAAAAACTACCATAAACACGGAGTCAAAAAATTTTTTTTTGTCTCTTCATTCATGCAGCATCACAATTTCCACAGGAGTTTCAGCAGTAATGATTTAAAGAGAGTGGAAAAATCCTAGCTCACCTCGAATGCAGTCCTAAATATTATATATAGTCCCTACTTCTTTTTTTTTTTTAATCAACACTTCATGAAAATCGCAGCAAAGAACAAAGTTAATGCATTATGGCTTTAAATTGTAGAACAGGAAAAACAACAACACTGAAACATGATTTTTTTTTTTTTAGCTTTTACACATCTGGGCCACGTTTTTTGCAATTACAAACTTTTAAATGGCTGCAAGTCTTTGTTGAAACAACTGAAAAAGCAAGTAGATACATCACTGTCTACTTTCACCGTAATTCATCGACTAATCCAATCAGTTTCATGGGTGTATTTGAGAATACTTTCACTGTGTAAGTTGCTTTTGAGTTGCCATTCCATGCTAACAAAATGAAGTCGGCAATCTAGCTGTTTACCAACACTTCACTTTTGCTTACCAAACATATAAATTCTGATGCCTCTTTCAGCTAACAAAGAAATAATGAGTTTTTACAGCACAAGCATGCATCAGTTCAGATTCACACTGCGACATGCAGACAGATTACTAAAACTTAATTGAAACAATTGCTTTCCCACAATATAGAAATCATTAGGGGGAAAAAATAGATCATATGGTCCAATTGTCAAGCAAGTAAGCAACTTAAAATTAATTAATTTTAAAAAAAGATATCTTCCCATTTGAGATTGTATTATGTTTTTTTTAAAACATTTCCTCTATTGCTATACAACTATTATATTTTATTAAAATTTACTGTTGTAAGTCTAACCTAAGAAAATAGGACTACTGAGGGTTTCACAAAGTATATCCAATTGGTTGATTTTTCTGGTTAAAGAGTACCACATTGTTACAATCATTTAAATAAAAATAATACACAGTTATAGACATTCTTTTGATTTTTTTGAATGGTACCAGATACTTTCAATGATGATTTTTTTTAAACTTTAACATAAATATTCCACAATACATAATATACACATAATGTACAATTTCCTTAATTTAGGTAACAAAGAAAAGTATAATTTTTATCACTGAACAAAATGTAAAAAAAAAAAAAAAGTAAAAAACAAACAAACCTAGCTGAATAAAATATGCACATCAACCAACATCCCTAAATATACATTATATTATAATATATATTTCTACATTACAGTGTAATGAATCACTTGGAAAGCTTTTCTTTCAAGTGAAAAGTATAGACTTGCAAATTAGATATACTTTGTACCTCCTGGTCTGTTCTAACAGTTCTAGCTTACTTGGGTTTTAGCTATCCCAGAAATCCGAAAATGTCATTTGTCTTGAAATCCAAAACTTCTAGACTCTTAAAGACAGCACAGGACAAACAATCCTCTCATTCACTTTATAAAGCGCACTCTCAAAACGTAAGTTTCCGTTAAGCAAATATTGCATCGCAGGTGTGAAAAAGTTTTCCGAGAGAGCTAGGAAATGGGAGAGCATGAAATATATATATATAACGAAGCCTGGGATCCTGAAGAAAGGTGGCATGTTTAAAAGGAAAAAAAAAAGGATATATAAATCACTGGCAGAGGATGTGGTCTGCCATTTTTGTAAGGCTAGGCAATTGGGAAGATTTCGTTTCCTGAATTCCAGCTACTATGCGGGATTTATGCCTTCGTCACCGAGGACATGAGAAGAGGCAGTAGAAACAAATCTTTGCATGCAGATCATTGTTTTAGGTCATTTGCATGCAAGGCAGTCTTTTCATGCTGTTGGGAATGGAGTGGTGTTGACCAAATTGATATGTCATATTATGTATATCTTTCCAATGTGGGCTGAACTAAATATTCCTCTTCTGTCAATAGTCTGTAAGAACTTGCATTAGAATCAGGGGTGTCCAACTTTGAAAACTTGTAGACTTCAACTCCCAGAATTCCCCACGGCTGGCTGGGGAATTCTGGGAGTTGACGTTTGCAAGTTCTTAAAACGTTGCCAAGGTTGGACACCTTCGCATGAGACCGTAAAGCAACCGATGGGAACATATTCAGCCTTTGCTCGATTATGTGACACCCCCCCCCCCGCTTTTTGTTTTTGAAATATACACTGCTAAAAACTGTACTGTAAGCATCATGCTACGGTATTATTATTATCTTTTAAATAATTTGCTTCAGGAATATGCAATATTTAATAGTGTTTCTGTTACACAGTAGTTTTGAAAAATGGACTTAAGAATAGAAACATGACCCAGAAATACTGAATTTATCCTAGTTTTTCTGCTTGTCTATAGTTAAATTAATTGCAGATGTCACAGAAATTAGACATGGAACTGTCTACATCAAATATATTCTAGATAACCTGAAATGGCTATTAACACGCATAGTGGAAAAATGACTGCAATTTAATAGGCTTTCTCATTCTGATTTTACAAAATGACAAGGTTTAAAAACATTTACTCAAAACATTTCGGTTAATGAGAAGGGAAGTTTTACACTACTAGCTAGAAAATCTTTTTATTTAAAAGGTACACAAACCTTGTTAGTTTAAATCCTCAAACTTTTTGCATACTTTTAATTTAAATCAAATTTGGGAATGTACAAACAGAATCTATTAAATACCCCAAATAAATTTTTCTGATAGTGCAAACTGAATGTATAGTATAGCATTGTGGTAAACTGATAATGTCGATTCCTTTTTTCCCCCCCAGATTATTATCGTAACTAACAAGGTAAATTATTTTACAGTAAACTAATTTATATATATAAAATGCTCTGTAAATAAAATCTCTTGTTTTCAAGCACACTTCCACCCCAATCCACTAAGGACAATCAGTTTCTGACTTCTGTAAATATTACAAAATTCTGGATTGGCTTTTCTTTGTAGGGCCTATATAACTGTAACCATAGGGGATGGATGCAATGCATCGTGGTCTTGAATTACACCTGAACAGTGGCTAATACAGTGGGATCTTTCCTTGTCTGACAGTGTTCGGGCCTGTTTGGGAAACAGGAAACTTAGTTAAGGCACCATCTTTGTCTCTTTGCCACTCCCAACAAGCAACCATTGCTTTTTGTAAAAAAAATGAAAGTTCTTGATGATATGCATGGGGAGGCTGGCAAAGAAACACCTGAGCCTCGCACACAAATGTCACCACACCGGGACTCTTTAAGCAGGTAACAAGTCTCAAAGACACACACAAACACACACTCCTGACAAGAGGAAAATAAATGAAATGCTGTGTTGAATGTACACATTCTGTGAGAGAGAGCATGGACGCAAAAAGAAAGGCTTCCGTAAGGCCAAAGGTGAAAGGAACCACAGATCTGAAATTAAACGCATCCAAACCAAATCCTATCAGTTTTCATATTATTGTAAAACTTTTCAAGTACAGAGTATCAAACATGCAACTCTGAAGTTGGACACCTATCACTACCGCTTAGGTTCTACAAATGGAGGAGACATGTGGAATTTCTTTGGCAAACAAACTCATTTCACCCAATTCCTTCTTAGTGTCTTGCTTTGCGGCCTTTCTTCGTCACATGAATTAAGGTAATCAAAATGGTTCTTTAGCACTTGTGGAAATCAAAGGCTCCTTATATTTAAATTTCACCACGTATCCCACCTTGGCAAAGGCTCTGCTCCTCAATGAATAGCATATGCTGAGCAACCGGGTGGTTCACAATATTGAATATTTATTTTTATCTCCCTCCCTAGAGGCAGGAGCGGTACTTATCTTTGCGGTAAATTAGCTGTTTCAAAAGGCTGCAGGTTAATTCTCAGCATCTGTTTACAAAATCTAAGTCCCCTTTGAAAAATTTCGAGGGATGGCGTGTTAAGAGTGTAGTTGCACAGTGCTTATGTCTACTCAATACGCGCGGACGTCAAGAAACAAGAGTGAACGACCTACAACTGCCCCTAAATCTTGTTACTCAACTGTGTTTGCGGACGCAGGAAATATGCATTAAGTTGGCTGGATATGGCAAACATCGGAACTCTTGCGACTTCGGGCCTTCTCCCTTCACCACTCGTCGGATCTCTGCTTCGTCGTGTCGTAGGCTCGTATTACTTCCGACTGTGACACGATTCCGTTTTCGTCTTGCGAGAAAGCGTATCCGTCTGGAAGTGGAGAGAATTGGGTTGAGGCGAGAAAGAGTGGGGATCGCTCTTTAAATGCTTTGAAAGCATCGCGCAAATGAAATAACAAGTAGTCCTCGACCTGCAACAGTGCGTATAGTGACCATTCAAAGTTACAATGGCGCTGGGGGGAAAAAAAGGGATTTGTGACCACTTATGACCGTTGCAGCATTCTCAGGGTCATGTGATCAAAATTCAGATGCTTGGCAACCGGTTCATATTTATGACTGCTGCAGGGTCCCGGATATTATGTGATCCACCTCTTATGACCTTCTGAAAAGCAAAGTAACGGGGGAAGCCAGATTCACATAACAACTGTGTTGCTGGCTTAACAATTGCTGTGACTCGCTTAACAATTACGGCAAGAAAATAGCATTAGCACTTAGACTTATACACCGCTTCACAGGGCTTTCTAGCCCTCTCGGAGCGGTTTACAGAGTCAGCCTCTTGCCCTCAACAATCTGGGTCCTCGGTTTACCGACCTTGGAAGGACGGAAAGCTGAGTCAATCTTGAGCCCTTTAAGATCGAACTGCTGGCAATGGGCAGTTAGCCTGCAATACTGCATTCTAATTACTGGGAAGGAAGAGCAATAGCACATAGATTTATATACTGCTTCACAGTGTTTTACAGGCCACTCCAAGCGGTTTAGAGAGTCAGCCTCTTACCCCCAACAATCTGAGTCCTCATTTTACTGACCTCAGAAGGATGGAAGGCTGAGTCAAACTGCTGGCAACCGGCAGTCAGCAGAATTAGCCTGCAGTACTGCATTCTTACCACTGTATTATTACCACAGCTCTGAAAAGTCGTAAAATGAGCCAAAACTCACTTAACAACTGTCTTGCTTTGCAATGGAAATGTTGGGCTCAATTGTGATTGTAAGTCGGGGACTATCTGCACCAAGAAACATTTTGTTCAGGCTAACCTTAGGGACTCACGTAGAAAAAGGAAGGAAGGGATAACAGATTTGGTAAGCCACAAATACAGTGTTTTCAAACAGTATTCCAAAGAACACTTATTCATAATGTGACACGATTAAAACAAGTCCGGTTCACATTTAGATCCTTTGAAATACCAAATTCCAGAGCATTTGACCCACTTTAGATCATATCGAGTCCAAATTGAGATCTGTTGGCACAATAGAACATTAAAATCCAAGACGGCCAGCGACACAGGGTGGGAATCTTCTCTCTATCCCATCAGCCACTCCCAGGACCAGATATTTAGGCCCTGCTGGAAGGCCAGGAGTATAGGGGGCAACCTCATCTCCAGCGTGAATATATTCCTAAAATATGCTCTGAATCCACCTGAGACAGGTAAAGGTGAGAAGAAGTAAAAGATTTCCCACAGGCCCAGTTGTTGAAGGCAAGGCATTTCTGGATTTTCTTTTATTTACCCTTTATTCTCTTTTATATAACTAGTCCCTCAATGATATAATCATAGATTGGGAGCTTAATTTTCTTTAAAATTGAGTTTTTGAAAATTTAATTTGCTTTGAAATATTTGCTGTTTGCTTTTTCACTTTCTAAACCTTCAATGTAGCTGAAAATCAGTTACATGGCAGTAGGCAGATGAGACTTTAGAATAATATGTGAGCTAATCGGCATGTTGACAAACTTTCTGATAAGACCCTGCTGTTATTTGTGGCCTTCGACTTTCTATTGCTTTCTAGCACACCTCAAATACTTACGAAGCAAATTTTGTTGCAAAGATTCAGAGCGGTACATGTTGACGTGGTTTTTCTTAAAGACGTTTTTCAATAGCTGAGCTCTTTCAGTTAAGCTAGGGGGAAAAAAAGGCGACAAATTTATGAAATGCACTAAAATTTGGGGTGCATGGGGCAGAAATCCAGACTGCAATAGCAAATATTGAACAGAATATTGGAAATGAACAACGGCAGCAATCACACATTAGCTATATACAGCAACAAGGACAGAAAATGGAATTATTTATTGGCAATGCTACTTCAATAAAAGTTTTTTCAACTCCTATTATCAAAGCCCGTAGATTTCTGGTACTAGTTTTATTTTTCACAACTATCAGGCTCTTTATAAGTACGGTAACTGGAAAAATGATTATTATTCTTGTTTACTTTATGCTTTGAATCAGTGTTGTAGATTTAGCCACAAAATTCAAGGCACCAAGCAAACTTTTAGTATGTTTTACAGTGGGATGTAAATACGGTTCTGGTTGACGATTTAATGGAATAAATCCGAGCTTGTTAATGTTATCTTAAACACTTGAATGTTAGGACTTAACCAGCAAGGCCTGCAACTAATGATGGTCAGATTGCTGTCATGGAGGCCATCCAGGAAGAAGCTAAGGAGAGAAAGCAATTTTGGATTTTTGGTGCCCTTCACGTCATTTGCACCAACTCCATGGTATTGTCAAATTTGCTGGGATGGATTCCTGAATTCTCTGGGTGATGCTTGGGGATGGGGGCAGGGGGAAGGCCGCAAGCAACTGCAAAATGGAGAAAGGGCAGTCAAACTTCATTGAGTGAGCACGTCTCTTGGAAACCGCTGGACTTAATCCTAAGCAAGCAAAATATAGGAATGAAACAAATTACGTGATGGGGGGGGGGTGGAGGTTAAAACATACAATGAGCGGTTGCAGCAGCTGGAAATGTCTAGTCAAACGAAGAGAAGGACTGGGGGTGACAAGATAGCAGCTTCCAATATTTGAGGGGCTGCCACAAAGTGGGCATTGATTTACTCTCCAAAGCACATGAAGGCAGGAGAAGAAGCAACTGATGGGACATCATTAAAGAGGGATCCAACCTAGAATTAAGGAGCAATTTTCCTGAGAGTGAGGACAATTAACCAATGTAACGGATTGCCTCCAGAGGTTGTGGGTCCTCCATCACTGGGGGCTTTTAAGAAGAGACTGGACAGCCGTTTGTCCAGAGTGGTATAGGGGCTCTTGTTTGAGCAGGGGGCTGGACTAGAAGACCTCCAAGGTCCCTTCCAACTTTGTTATTCTGTATGCCCAGCGTGGCTTCATGGTTCTTCTACCCCTTTAACAACAGTTTTGTTCTAGGCCTTCCTGATTTCTTCCCTCCGTTACATCGTTCCGTTGAAAGTTGTAAAGAATAAAAAGAATGAAAAATAAACACAGGTTTGGAAAACACAGGTGAAACCCCCTAACTGCTGCGAGGTATTTTACTATACCTATATTGTGTTCGTAGGGAGTCTGCCGTAATCTTGTAAAGGGTTCGGAGGGGAGTTAAAAGATATTAAAATGATAAATGGTATTTAATTATAAACTATCCCACCAGTAACATCAATTTGAATTGTATGTTTATGAAATAATTACTGTTAAGTGCTCTGTAGCTACTTAGATATTACAGTTATACTTTAACTATATTACTATTACGTATAATATATTATATCCTAGTTACTCTGTAACTACACTGTGGTTACTGTAATTACTCTGGGAGAGGAAGCCAAGAGAAAAGGGAGAACAACACTACATGGAAATAATGATGGGAATAAATAATAGTCCGAGGAAAGGAAGAGTTGAAGGTTGTTAGATTTTTTTTTTTTACAAAAAAAAAATATTTGCAAGGTAAAGGGCTAATCCCAAACAGAAGCTAATCTTCAGGTATATTCAAATGCATCTTTGTGTGTAGCCAATTGAAGCTCCTTGTTTCCAACAGATCCTTGTCTTCTGATTAGGGATTCAACTTCTTCCCTTCTCGGCCCACTGAAATATACATATCATAATTACCTATTAGTAGAAATAACTGACCCTTAACTGACTAGATGGAATAAGGGACAGGCTACAAGCTAATCCAAGCTGCCCTCAGCATGCTGAATTAGTTGCATCTCTAGTTAAAGTGGATATTGAATTAATTGGAAGAGAATGCTTAACTAAGACAATATTTGGTTCATTTTATGAGCAAAGTTAATCCAAGAACCTTTATGACTTTGATTTCAGACTCCAAGTGATGAGGTCAACTCAGGCCAAAAACATAAATAGAATGCTAATATTCAAGGTTGGAGAAACGACTGATAATCGTATTCTACCTTTTTCCCTGCAGAACAGCTCCTGGATCTTGTGATTTTGCTTCCAACTCCTGAACTTCATCTACTAAGGTCTTAAATGCTGCCCTCTTCACTCTAAAATAATGATTTAAAAAAAAAAATCAGTTAATTCATTTAAAAATTCTAAGCCTTTTTATCTGTCTGCAAATATCAGTATAGAATTAAATGTAACCCAGTAACATTAAATTCAGCCCCACAATAACATTATCTAAAAAAAAGAATATAAATTATTCTAGTAGCGTCCACGGAGAACTGAGATTATTCATTCATTTTTGAGATTAACCATTAGGGAACTAGGGGGTAATGTTTTCCAAAGAAGCATTGTATTTATACAGTATATTTGCTTTTAATATTTTATACTTTCATATAATAAAACTGTGATATACAGTATATGTTGTTCTCCTCTGAAGAGTAATCGCAACTAAAAGAACGATCTGCAAAAATAGGTCATAATTTAGTAGACTAAGGAGTCAATTCTCTATAAATGTGCAAATCTAATTGAGCTTGGATTTAATTAGGAAGATATGCCAATAATAATACTGCATCAGTAAATGCACTTACTTAGGAATACACCCTGTTGAACTAATGGGAGTTTGTCCTGAGTAGCTGTGAAGCCTGCACTGTAATTTTAGGTAACTAACAAACGGACAGATTATTTGGTAGACCATATATTAATTATATCATACTTACACTTTATATACTACATCAAATATCAGTGCTGTCATTGGAATACTAAATAAGCCCATCCAGAAGACTCCGGAGCTGAACAACATCACGGCCTATATAGATTTTAAAAAAAAATAACAACCCATACAATGAAACATTTGCGATGATGGTAAATAAAATCTCTGTGGAAAGATTAATCATAAATCGCTGATGTAGAAGAAAATTAGTACCAACAGAAGAGAACATCTGTGGCTCAGGGTTGAACTGTGGGGAGGCCCTTGGTCCTTTCTGAACTTGGTTGTTTTCTTGCAGACATTTCATAACCCACCTAGGTAGTATCATCTGTGCTGGAAGGAAGTGGTGTTTGTGTGTGTGTGTGTGTTTGTATATGTGTACACACACACACACACACACACACACACACAGCCAATCCCACTCCCTTCTAGCACTGATGAAGTTACCTAGTTGGGTAATGAAACATCAGCAAGAAAACCACCAAGCTCAGAGAGCACCAAGGACCCCACAGTCCTCCTCCCCCTCCACTCCGCAAACCCCTTTTCTCTTCTAGCACTGAAAATGTTCCCTAGTTGGTTAATGAAATGTCTGCAAGAAAGCCACCAAGCTCAGAATGCAGCAAGGATCCCACATTAAAAAAATGAGATCCAAGCTGTAAAAATGTATTTTATTTTCTCCAGAGATTGCGAAGGGAAGTACTCTTCCTAGCTGCCGGAGAGTCTGTTTGTGACTGATGGGGTGTTCCATTGAGAGGAAAATCATAGGCGTTGATTGTCCCAGAAGTGGAGGGAACACCGTAAGGTTTTGAATAGGCTTTAGCTAAAATAAAAGGTATTGTTTTTTCTGCTGAAAAAAATTACATGCCTGCTGCTGGCCTTTAAAATTCAAGAGAAAATCTCTGTGGGCATCTAGTGCAATGTATTGTTTCACTGTTGAAATTATTATCTTTTTCAGGATTGCCATTTTTAATAGCTTGCTAAGTCATCCAGAATCAATGGCCAGTGAGTTGTTTTAGAAATTAAAATAATAATTAAATTGTTTTTTTTTGGGGGGGGGGGGAGAGAATAGGCAACCTGTTTGGATACAGGTGGTTCATCTTTGTTGTAGGGTTACTTTTAAAATAATATTGGTTACCTTGTAATTATTACATCATTTTATTGTTGGATACCACTGCTTTGAAAAATGTTGGGCAGTAGGATAAAAGATGCTGAATAACATCTGTAAAACAGTTGCTTGTGGGCTGAATTTTTCATTTACCCTCTCATAATCCCTTATTCACTCTCCAGAGAAGTAGATGGATTACCTGAAAGCAACTATAATATTTGAAAATACAATTAAGCCGTTCACTAAAGGCAGAAATTTATGAATGAAATTTTCAAGGTATTTTGAGTAGTTTTGAGGGCTAATTACATGCACTTGCACCTCTTATTATCTCCAGGTGCACATATGACAGCACAAACTTCAGGTTCTGATGCGATCCTTACGATATGAAGTACTCACTAACGACACTCAAAATAAACGGATGTCAGGAATCAGTTTCTGGCATGGTATCTGTTCAAAATCATGGGAACAGATGGGTCTCACTTCATCAAATGACAAATGGGAGATTTCCATGCGGGAGCTTTTAAACTCTTCTGCTGAATAAGGGAGGCCTGCTAATCCCCTGGAGCTGCAGCTTGGGGGCCCCCCAAAATCACTCGACAGACAGACAAGGGACCCTTTTTTCCCTAAGGCTCAGGGAGCAGGGGGCAATGGGGCAGGGGAGTGAAATCAGTAGCCCCTCTCCTGCAGCAGCGCTTTCAAAATGCATTTAAGCCAAACTGAATGTCTGCTGGCGGTTAGCAGCTTTGCCCTTCCATCAAGCAACAAACATATTAAACTATTTTGGCCGGATGTAAATTGTTTTAAAAGAAAAAAGAAAAAGAACGGCGATGCAGTGACTTTACAGGTGGAAAGGAAACTATTCCCTGTGATTTAATCCGAGTATTAGTGCGCACAGAGAAGCGAAAGACGCTCATAGAATTAGATCCATAACAGGTGAAAGAAAAGAGGACAATTATTTTTGTAAGCATGTTGCATAAAGCAAGCCAAGATAAAATGATAAATACGACTGATTTCTGAAACATAAAGCCAAAAAAAATAGCAGGGGGAGGGAGGATTTAAATAGAATTCCTTCCTTCCTTTCTTTTTTAATGGTTCTTAATGACTTTTTAAAGTTAGGGAAACGCCAAAGAGCTCTCCCTTGCCTAAGCCCCCTTGTATTAAAAGTTGCTTGGTGAAACAGCGGAATTGATAATGTAAGTCTCAGGATGTTAATTCTGAGCATTGTGATGCTAACGATGAACGAAGGAACAAGGGCACCCACATTCACTCAATCCAGCCTTTTGGCTTCACAAATGAGCAACCTGAATTGAAGGAAGGGAGGGAAGGGGAAAAAAAAAACCCCACCACTGCCACCAAACGTTTTTCTGCATCATATTTGAAAGCCTGTCAGATTTTGTCCCCCCCCCCGCCCCTTTTACAGAGTTAATCCAAAACTAAAAGATTTAAAGAGGACATTCACATTAAAGACAGAAAGCTTCTTTGTATGTGTGTGGGTGAAGAGGGAGAAACACACAATCTCACGGAGGTATTTCCTTCCTTTCTGTTTGGGGCTGGGAGGCCGGGGGGTGGGGGGGGGAGCTGGAAGCTCCCTCTGGGCTCAGCTCAGAACCATTTTGTCTCTAACTTTTCACATCTCTCTGCCCATAGACGGGTCAGCTGGGAAGAGAGCAAACGGATCCAGGGCAGACAATGGCCGCTAACAGGGACAGCCTGTTCTGAGGTTGGACTCCGTCTGCCTTTTTGCGATTTACAAATTCATCGCCCGCCTGCTGCCAAGTCTTCTGGCCCCGGCCCCTTTCGGCCTTGGGAAATCAAACGCAACCTGCTTAAAGAATAGCATGAGTCTCCCCCCCCCCTCCTCCCACCCCCCAAAAAAACGTAACAGAGAAATACAAATTGCCAGTGGGTCGGCTTCAGTTGAGCCGAACGTCTGTTAACGGGCGAAAGGGTCCCTCTTAAAATTTATTATCAATTAAAAAGCGATTTTCAGAAACATGCGGGAAAGCATTTGGGTCAGTGGCTTTGACCCTTTCGCCAAACCGGCTCTCTTGTTTATGGCTTAGGTATTTTATCCTGCCTTGGTGACATTAAAAGTCGTTCAGGAGGGAGAGCATGGGTCATACTTCTTCCTCCTATTCCCCCCCCCCCTGTGAGGTTGGTTAGGCTGAGGCAGAGTGACTGGCACAAGGTCACCCAGCCGGCTTTCATGGCTAAGGCAGGACTAGAATTCACCATCTCCTAGTGATTGCACCAAAGTCATCCAGCCGGCTTTCATGGCTAAGGAGGGACTAGAGCTTACCATCTCCCAGTTAGAGATACTCTCTTAGTACCTCTACTCAACTGGAAGTCAAGGGGATGGGACCCCTGAAGCAATCCTCAATGGCAGTTCTGACCTTAAGGAACAGCTTATCCCACAAGGTGCTTTTAGCCCCCATATAACTGGGTTTCATAAACTCCTGAAAATGATCCTATTTTAGATAAGCACCTATCTATGCAATTGGACTTTTTCTCTTCTTGCATTGCAGATTTTTAAATTTTGATTGTGAGCCACAATTTTAAATTAACTGGAAGATGGATTTTACTGAGAAGATTTGAGGAATGACCTTTTCTCTTTTATATTAGAATTTGCATCAAACCACAAATACATATTTCTGACAAACACATTCTTACCTATGTTTTTTCATTCTTTTTGGCAACCTATCCTTACTTTTACTTGCTCCTGTTTTTTTTTTTTTACTGTCTTTTTATTTGGACATTCTAAAATATTTTTTATCAGCATTCCCTAGAAGTGAATCTTCATGTTTCTGCTTAAATGCTTTTCTGGAACACTTTTTTTAATGCTAGCATGTCAAAAACTACCATGTACAGCAGAATTCCTAAACTGTTGAAAAGATTACTACGTTTTAAATCATTTCCTGGCTTGAAAGAAAAATTGTAACACATGTTGTTAATTAAAAGAAATATTACCTCCCCTGACATGTCCGGTGCCATAGGAATTACTGGCCATAAAGAGGAGTAGATGCCAAAAAATACTATCCAGAGCACAATACTGCCCCATATAGCTATATGACTAAACTGGAAAAAAAGAGAAAGAAACTCAGTTAATAAATGAATATTTTGAAAGCTGTATCTTTGTAAATCTGAATAAACAAACAAACAAAATATTCCACCAGTAATTAAAAGTGTTGTGCATTGCCTCCATAGAAATGAACTACTATCATTTATTGCGTTATAATATTTTAAAGACATCTTACCAAAGTCCAATATGAAGTCTCCAATCCAGCTTTTAAGCACACAGTTATGACCACAAACTAAAAAAAAAAGGAGACACATTACTTTTCAGATTGAAATATGTGATTTCAAAACCAAAGAAATGTTTAATATTCTAACATCTGTATAGACAATAAGAAATTGTTAACTTGCTTCTGCATTTTCCTTCAGATACGGATGAAGTGCAAACAAGTTACTTATATTCTACAGCTTATGAGTGAGTGTGCAGTTCTGTGTGTGCACATTTGCAAATGACGCCTGAGTAAAACATTGAAAACACACACATATGTCATCTGGGGCAGAACACCCAGAGGTTTTGATTATGGAAAAAGAAATTAATGATTACAACAAATAGTGGACTGAAAGTAGATGACCAACAGAGGACTGCTGTTATATAAAAACACACCACCAAGTCATTTGCCTTTCATGGTAGCTAGCAAAAGCAGTAGCACTTAGATTTGTTTACCGCTTCATAGTGGCTTACAGCAGTGGCCCCCAAATTCTTGGCCACCACGGGACGGTGTGTGTGGTTTTGCACACTATCTAGACCATGCAAAAGGATGGAAGGCTGAGTCAACCTTGAAGATTGAACTCCTGGCAGTGGGCAGAGTTAGCCTGCCAGTGCTGCATTCTAACCACTGCACCACCAGGGCTCTTAAGCTGCTTAAGTAGGACTCAGTGAAGTCAACTGCTGTTTCTGGTTTAAGATCGGAGTATTGGATTAAAATGAGTAAAACTTACTGTATATACGGCGTTTCCCAAAAGCAAGTAGTCTGAGGTTCTACCGCTGGCAAACACAGCATCTATAAAATAATAACAATTTATTTGCTTTTGTTAGATTCAGATGGCTGCCAAGTCGCCAAACAATTCTTGCCTACAAACATCTCAATTACTGATACTTTAAGAAAGAAAAAAGGGGCAGTTACTATAAATGAATAAACCATCATCGATATTTATATGTAAGCAACACATTCTGTGTACACCACACGTTTGTATAATAGGGCAAAAACTGAAGAGGGAAATCTAGAGCTAAGAGAGAAAAAAAATTCAGGCACTCTCAAGTTTGGCAACATTAGGATGAGTGCCTTTCAACCTTCAGAATTCCTCAGCCGGCATGTTCCTTCAAGTGGTACCTATTCATTAAAGCTGCAGTTGAAGTGATTTGCGAAGAGATTAAAAACTTCAACTGTTAATCAAAAATTATTTAATTAGGGGTTAGCTAAAGTTGTAGTTAAGGAGAAAGAACACCTAGGTGTCTACGGGCCCTTGAATTATGACCAAAATTGAGCCCAACATTCATCTTGCTAAGTGAGACATTTGTTAAGTGACTTTGCTCTATTTTACGACCTTTCTTGCTACAGTTGTTCAGTGAATCACTGCTGTTGTTAAGTTAGCAACACAGTTGTTAAATGAATCCCGTTTTTTCCACTGACTTAGTTTGTCAGAAAGTCGCAAAAGGGGATCATGTGACCCCGGGGCACTGCAACCGTCATAAATATGAGTCAGTTGCCAAGCATCGGAATTTTAACCACGTGACCATGGAGATGCTGCAAGAGTCATAAGTGTGAAAAACAGTCCCTTTTTTTCAGTGCCGTTGTTACTTCGAACAGTCACTAAACAAACTGTCGTAAGTTGAGATACAGAGGTTGCTTGCCAATCGTGAATAGTTCTATGCATTTGCATCCGGGGAAAAAAAAACATGTGTTGCAACTTTCTAGGGCTGAAGTAGGTCAGGGACGGGCTAAAAATAACTATCTACCTTTTCCCCTGCAGTTTTCCATCCCAAGGCTACAGGGTAGCTATTTCAAGCAAGGAAGGAGAGCATCGTGTGCACATCTGCAAGCACCAGAGGATCATTTATGGATTCAATTTCATATTTGATTTTCCTTTGTTAGCTTTTGGAAATATAGTCTTCCCTGATATACAGTATATATGTATATTCAGATTATAACTCTGACTGATTATTTGGATTGCTCCGTCTGGCTAATGAGTGGCTGTATGAGTTTGTTAAACAAACAAATAAATATGTACAGGCCTAGTGCGAATGCGGTCTTTTTATTTTTTAAAATATTTACTTACCATTCTGGATGGCTTTTAGGGGAAACCAAAATAGAATTACTGAATGAAAGAGACCATTTAAACAATGGAGCCAGAAAACCTAGGTGAAAACAAACATTCATGACTGTCACGAATGTGCACACAAAGCATTTTTATTTATACAATTTTAACAAATAAAGATTATAAGGCAATTATATCAAAGAAATACAAGAAATTTATTTGTTTTTATGTATTTAGGCATGGACAGAATAAAGTCAAGAATAAGTACAAAAAAACCCCTTTCACTATTTCTATAAAAGGAAAGTTGTTTTGTAGTAACATATGACATGCTTTTACAAATCACAATCTTCATTGTGCTAAAGAGAAACGTATTAATCGCTTGAAATTGTTCAAACAACAGAATTATGTTCTCTGCCTCAAAAAATTTTCTACCCTGCCTGTAACATCTTTGTAATATTATATAGCTGGTTAAGGTTGTACAATCCAATTTATGCCACAATACTTTGCATATTTGAACTTTTGTGTTACTCATTAACCTTTGTCTCTTCTTGCTGTGTCATTGACAAAAGAATATTATTTGAGAAAAAGCTGAGGTGGGGGGCAAGAAAATTAAGACCGTTTTTTCATTTTTATGGTGAATACTCATTGTCCCACGTTAATCCTTTAACCTCTCTTCACCCTGAACTCTGACCCTTTTGATCGCAATGAATCTGTGCACCATGATTTAGGGCAATGAAAATTCTAAATCTTGCACATACCAAACCAAACCTATCTGTCTTTACAGACCATTTGAAATTGTAAAACCTGTTAAGAATTAAAAACAATAAAAGGTACAAGCTAGATCAGTTTCTAAAATACAAAATATAATTAAAATATTTACAACTGAGTGGTTCATGGGATTTGACCACATTCATAATTGTGCAAAATGAAACTAAACAAGACACTACAAAAATAATAACTTCATTTGCATTCACTGAACCTTTTCAAAAATAATTATACGTGTTAACAAAAGACAATGCGGAAATTGTGGCAGAAAGCTTACGTTGGTAAATTGCTGAATTTCTTTTTGATCTATCAGGCCTACACAATTACTTATACTGTAATTTGTTTAAAAAAAGAGGAATGTAAAGAAAAAAAATGTAGGAAGCATTTATTTTAAGAAACTCACAGAATCTGAGCTAATTACTTTTAAAGTGCTATACATGAGTGGTATTGAAAAAATAAATAAAACATCAGCCACCTTAATTGACCTGTATAATTATTATGTTAATTAATTTGATGTTAATTAAATTGGTGTTAATAAAAACCACCAACACTAGTCCTTTTTAAAGTTATTTCTATATGTATTTGTTTTAAGTTTACCTACACCTAATGAACGGAATTATGTACAGAAAAAAATATAAACAATGTGAATGAAGGCCAACATCAGCTAAAGAACCACCATTAAGATGTCACTTAATGAATACTGAGATGAATACTTAATTTAATTGGCAACATATATACTCTCAGATTCAGATTATAGTTATCCTTAAAACTCTTAACTCATTTGGAAATTGTGCATCTATTATCCATACTGGCTTTTTAAAAGTTTTTAAAGAACCAGGATAAATAATTTGAAAATTATTTATTATTATTTATTTACTCGTAATATGAAAAATTCACTGTTTGTGTGAGACCCAAAAACATCTCAACCAACAAGCAAAAACAAGAAGCACTTCCATACACATGAATAATTTGTTTGTTTGCTGGAGGTCCTTTCTGCTACTTTTTAACCACATTAAATCCTCCTCTGAAAATTTTATGCATATTCATGAACAGCTTTTCTCTAGAAAACTAGCTAGCTCAACCCCCCTCCCAGAAGATAGACAGGATTGGATTTTATTGTAACTGGAAGCTTACTGGATATAGGAGACCATCATCATCAAACTTATATGTAAATGATTTTAAGCACGTTGTCGTAAAATAGAATTAAACAGGTGTACATGCAATAATTAAAAATTATTTCCAGCTACCTTTGAATTGAAATCCAGAGCGTTTTGGGATGTCTTGTATAATTCAGGGTATTTTAGCATATTTTCTTTCTGGCAGGATCTCTCAAATATTCCAAGCGTCAATGGAGGCATAGCCGTAAACATCTAATGCGCAAACCACATACAATAACAAAAACGTGTAATGAACATTCAAATATATTTTAACAATTAGCATTGTCAAAGAAACTAATTATAAAAACTTACCACATTATAAAGTCCTATGCACCATCTTTCAAACAGTATCTGTCCAGAAAATCCATTAACAAATGCAAACCATATCTGAAGAATAGAGTTTAAAACATAGTATCAGTTTTATGGATTCAGGGCATCTTTTCTTGAATCAATAATCTTTTAAAAATGGGGGAAAATTTAATGGCAGAAAAGATAATAAACATGTGAAGAGTCTTCAGCCTATAATTAAAAAAAATTGCTTTCCATCAATTCTGATTAAGGTCACACCCTTCATGATAGCTGTCTCTGAGACAATGTTTTACATAGATTATTTTGGTTCGACATTATCTTTGGGCATGATTCCATCTGAATATTTTATATAATTTGAACTACCGTATATCTTCTTGATTAAATCATTTACAATGAACATTTTTTTCCCAACTGAACTTCCAACCTGAAGGATTGGAATCACTAATATTTGCTAACAAGTATGTTCATAGCAGCTACAACATAAACTTTCCGTCACATAAAAGTTAATGATGAAGACAATGATATCGATTTATAAACTCTTATTAGGTAACATAGCACCTAATTCCTTTGTTTCTTAAGAGTACATTCCCATCCTTATAGATGTTAAATCAACAGATTAATTCTAATCACTAATGGATAAAAAGAATCCCAAAACAATATTACTTTAATTTAATGCATTTCTCAGCGAGATTGTTACAAGTGTTTCATACCTGAAGATACACAATTGAATGTGCAAAATACTCATCAACTACCTGAGTATTTGCAAAATGTCTATGTAAATTAAATTAGCTGCCTATGATTAATGTTTTGATAACTATGAAACATTACAATGCATAAGGCTATGTTTTCACGGCTGCATTTTCTGGATTTTTAAAAAAAAGCGTAACAGGGATTCCGTAGACACAACAAAATAATACTGAGCTGACATTTGAAATATAAATTATAGGGTTTGGTTTCAACTACTGAATTCTAAACAGATCATTAACTGATATCTAATAATTAGAGGGAAAGGAGAGGAGAACCCGAAAGCAACCTCTCACATAGTAATTAACATAAAAGAAAATTGTTAGAATTTAATAGATATCAGGAAGCATTGATTTCATTTTAATCCAATGCATACAAACCTGTGCCAGCTGCTAGAGTTCTACATTATGGCTGTTAATGTTAACCGTAGCAGCAAAACAACACATCTAATCACTTAACTTTTTATCAGGGACTTAAAGAACTCACACTCAATAAACATACTTCACAAGATATAAAACATCTAAGCAAAACACGAAATATATGCTATGCGTACACGAATCCTGAAATATAAGCAATTAGTTCAGCATTTCAGGCAATTTTTTTTTTACACTAGCGTTGTTTTGTAGTAGAATTTTGCAATTTAACAGAAATATAAAATGTAACTAGACGCCACTTATTTGAGCTAAATATTGGTCAAGATGTTTTTCAAAGTTCCAAGAGGGAAAAAAAGAGAGAGTTGGGGCAGAAATAAACAGCTACGCAGATTTTCCTAGGTTCCAAGGATTGTAACGGGACGTCTTAAGATCCTCCATCACTTGCCTGCTCTCACGCTTGAACAATGACAGGAGGCTCAGGATAGGCAGCTGTCTTTGCTAGAGACATGCATATTCTGTCCATTCATTTATTCATTTGGTGTTGACATAAGCTATTAACCACTGCATGAGCTGCAAAAGTTGAATGTAGGTTAAGTGATTGGCAGATCACTTTGAGGTACGCTCGAAACCTTTCAGGGACTTTCAACGTCTTCCATCTCAGAAGCAAAAGGCGCTACAAGGTTAGAATTCTCAGATGGAAACAATAATACTTACTAAGCTACTGATGTCCTGATGCTTAATTAAACTAAGATTGTCTGAAGTTTCAGTCACCCACTGATTTATATTAATCAGAAAAACAGAACATAAAAAGAGAAATTTGGCGGGCAGCTTTGTTAACTCTGGAGCCACAAAAAATACCGATGTATTAAGCAATGTATTTCCTAGTAAAAGCTTTCAGGGGAAAGAGGGATGACACTAAGTCTAAGTTAAATATCTGCCACTGCAAAATGTTTTAGCCAGTAACGTATCCTTAGCTAGGATATCAGAAGTGGGATAAAAATCACAAAAAGAAGGGAGGAATTTCTAGAAATGGAGAGGTAGCTACTGAAAAAGAAGGTTCCACGGATGACTGAAAATATGTTGATTTCATGTTTTCAGTTAATATTTGTTATCTTCAGGATTTTGTGATTCTTGGTCCTTGAGTTAGAAGAAATTCAAAAGATGTTGAACAAAACTTAAGACACTATATCTCTCAGCAATCCAGAAAATAGGAATTGATTGCAATTTATCAATGTATAGTGGCGATTTAAGTCACTGAAACAAATGAGAAGCAAATACCCTAAAATATAGTAATATAAAGAGGTTTTAAAGCGATTTAAATATTTTAGGAGGCACGTTTCTTAATAATTCTTGCTGAAATAACAGCAAAAACATCTTTATGATTATATTTATTCCCTGGCTTTGCTTTAGTTCATATTAATGCATTATCATGCAGCCACTAAACCTAAAGGATGCCGATTACTCTTTGCATTGTGTTTCATAAATCAAAATAGGAAGGAATGTTTGAAATGGATAAAACCATACCTTTCAGATAAAATTTCTGGAGAGGGGGGAGATAGAGAGGTGTGGTTACCCCCCTCCCCATGTAAGCCCATTCTTACCTCAATAATATAAAGGACAATGTTCTTGTAGAAGCAGTACAAAATGCATTTAGCAATTCTACTGTAATTCCAGGCACCATGGACCAGAAGTAAGTTCTTCAAGTACTTGAACTACGAACAAGGAAAAAAAGACACATAGGGTTTAAGCCTTTGATGCTTACAATCACATATTGACAATGCTTTAATATTCTTGACTGGAAGTGGAAGGACCTTACCTGAGCTATTGAATAATCTGAAGAATTAGCAGCTTGGAGGCCTTCGTTTCCACTAATGCCAACACCTACGTGTGCCGTTTGTATCATGCTGACATCATTCGCTCCATCCCCAATGGCCAAAGTCACGACCTTTACCTGTTTTTTAACCATTTCTACAATATCAGATTTCTGCAGAGGCGAAACTCTAGGGAAAAAAAACCCAATATTGTTATTAAACTTAAATAATGGTCATCAGGAAATAGATTACTGTCGTAATTTCAAATGGTAACTAAACAAGAGTTAACAATTCGAGGACCACATGGATAAGGGTATCAATCCAGATGGAGAAGGCGAAGGACTGTGGTTCTTTGCCAGCTAGGTAAATACTGAACAAAAATCAATGCTAATGCTAATTAAAATACTTTTTTTGTTTTAGAGATAGCAGCCTAACACTAATATAGCTGGTTGCCACCTTTAAAGCCCTTCCTGGCTTGGGACCAGGTGATCTGAGGGACCGTCTCTTGCCGGTCATATCTACCTGACCCACCAGAGCGGGGAGGCAGGGAATGCTGCAGGTCCCATCCTCGAGGGAGATACATCTGGTGGAACCCAGAAGAAGGGCCTTCTCCATGGTGGTTCCCTCCCTCTGGAATATCACCCCCCCCCCAATTAGAACGGCCCCCACTCTGATACTCTTCTGGAAGGCGCTGAAACCTGGTTCTGCCAGCGGCTCTGGGGAACCCAGAGCGGGATGGAGCCCATTAAATGGTTCGTGTGAGGTGCTGCTGCTGGGGGTTGTGATTTCATTATATTAATTTATCATATGACTGTTCTTTTATTAGTTTAATTGTTTTTATCTGAGGTTTTATATTCTGTAAGCCGCCTTGAGTCGCTATGTGTGAATAGGCAGCAATATAAATTCCCCAAATAAATAAATAAATAAAATAAAACATTAGGTAGTTCCCATAAGGGTTGATAACTTTACTGTAAATTCAACTGGAACCAAAAGTATTTTGGAGGAATGCTGCCTAAAATTGTATGAGCAAAGAAAAAAAAGAAAGATTGATTGACTTACCTGCAACAAATGACGGCTTTGCAGGACAGAGCCAAATCCAAGAAATACTGCCTGACACCAAACGTCAAAGCGTATTTTAATGTTTTGCCGTCAATGATTAGTGCAAAATCATTTTCCTTCCTCAAAGCCTCACCCAGAGTGCCGCAGTGATGGGTTAAGGTCTCTCTTGTTGCCTGTAAAGTATCACAATAAACACACACATCACCTCTGTTGTTCCTAGGGTTCTGTTTATTTTATTCTGAGCGACTTTATAAACATACATTATCAAGGGAGTTAAAAACACAATTAAAATGACTAATAGGTACAAAATTCAACAGCAGCAGGGATGAATCTTGATATACAACCAGGTTCCTATTTAATTGGGTTCGGGCTATATCAATGTCATATACTGTATTTGTTGGAAAATGTGAATCCTTTTAATCGCTTTTTATACACTGAACATAAATGTAATACTGCCGTACGCTAAAATTCTATCTATATTTGCTTCCTCAGAAATAAACTCTCTATTATTTTTGTCAACGAAACTCTGCAACCCAGTTGTGTCTTTTAGCAGATAATTTAAAGCCAATTGAGAGGCTTTGCTAGGGGATTAAATCTATTTAACTAGATGAGGCTAGTCGTTAATCCACCTCTCTTTTTTTTTCTGGTAAACTTTAATAAAGCAAACTTGCAAGATACATTATTGTTGCATTTTGCATTTTCCTCCAAAAAGAAACAGACTACTGCAGCTGAAGCCTTTTTAAAATCAGTACTACTGTGTTTCCCCGAAAATAAGACAGGGTCTTATTTTCTTTTTGACCCCCAAAAGAAGCGCTTGGCCTTATTTTCGGCCTTATTTTCGGGAAGGTCTTATTATTTTTGAGGTGCAGGAGGCCCCTTAACCTTGGCCCGCAGCCCACAGATCAGCTGATCCAGAGAGAACAGGAGGTTGTGCCTCTGTTTTTGGCACATTCTTGCCAGCCCGAGTATTGCTGGGCCTGCTGCTTTTTTTGTAGCTGCCACCAAGAGAAGGGACGCAGCAGCTAGGGTTTGTGGTAGCGGCCTCCGGGAGGACGTTCTGCGTGGATGGCAGGTGCATGTGGGGAAATGGCACGGACCGGTTGCGCATACGTTTAAATATTTTAGGGGAGGGCTTATTTTCAGGTTATCCTTCTCAAGAACTTCAGTATCTGTTCTAATGGCTATGATAGGATTTGTTGAGAATGTATCTCTCTTCAAATTGAGACATTCCGGTAAAATGCAATCATGTTTGGAGCTACGGGGAAAACTCTCTTGATGCAACGAGGCTGACATAATGTCATTTCACTTTCATAGCTCGTAAGTAGCGTAGGTGATATAGAAAACAATGTTTTTGCAGCCAAGAAAGTTCCCATCATTATAAATCTTCAAAGTTCTCTTTTTAAATAACCAAACAGAGGTACAGAACATGTACTGAAAAAAGGGCACGACAAAGGCTAGTGTTTAAAAAAACAATTTTCACTGCACGTTTTCTATATTTTGAGATCAGAAGTGTACAGTCTGCTTTGTTTAACTAACAACTTTGATGTTCTTCAAACCTATTTGTTTACTGTTAGGCTAAGGTATTCGACCCAGATTCTTTCTCTACGTACAGTGGAGACTGGAGAAGGATGCCCTCTCTAGCAGATTAGCAAGTCTCAAGAGTTTTGAGATTTTCTAACTCTGCAGGTGCATGTCCGTGTGTGCATGAGAGAATGAGAAAGAGTCAGCATGCCCATCTGTGCAACTGGGAGGGGAATTTTACCTCTTAAATGCAATATTTCTATTTTTAAAAGAAATAGTGGCTTGCACTGTGAGCAAAGCTCCATTTCAAAATAGAATGTCCTGCAGAAATGATTTTTGTGATTTTTTTCTTTTATGACAAAATTTAGCCCCACACTAGCTTCATACCAACATTTTCTAAAGCATAACTTTTGGGAAAATATTTAGATCAAAGAAGAAAAATGCCTAGAAGTTATATGCTTCCTATCAATCATAAACCTAAATAATTAATCCATATTTATTTTTTAAACTAGTCTATACTCGGTACATAGACTGTGAAACAAATTTAGACTATACTTACATCAAGGGAGCCTTCATTTATAACAATCAGCCCCATGTTCTTTTTCAAGAGTTTACATGAATGTCCTATTAGGGAAAAAAAGTATGCCATTGTGTTTGGATTTTTAAAAGTTGTAATTACACATACATAAAGATATAAACATGATTCCTAACACCGAGACATTAAAATGCAAGAATATTGTGGCTTGGATAAAATAACTGGCATTAAATTACTATATGGAGGTTTGGTGGGAAATTCAAGGCCACTTGAACGAATATATATTTAAAGAGAACACTAGAAAGTTGAGAATTCTATTTGATTTCAAATAAACAAAGAACACAAAAAGTAACATACTGTGTTTTGCTTTTATAGAACACACTCAGCCAACATTCACTATCTTTATTTGAAAAAAATATGTTAAACTATAGGATATACTCTTTTAAGAGGGGAAGTTGAGTCAGAAGATGAAGTCAATGAAATAAGAATCGGGTAATTTATTGTTTCTGCGACCATAAATAAATACAATTGTGTAACCTCCACAATGCACTATTTTGTGTAACCATAATCTCTTTCTATATTTATTAGAGTTAGATTAAGTTCAGATTGCCTTTATAAGGTCACAGAATTGCAGGATTAGGGAAAATTCTAAAGGATTTGCAAAATTTCTCATGCTAATAAAAATGCCAATATTCTTTACGTGACATCCATTTGACCTTAAGCTATTGAACAGAAATATGCTACGCAGCTATCAGAGTATTTCAGGCAAAAACCAGAAACTTGCTAAAACTTTTCTAGGGCACGTGGTAATGATCACTTGGTAGAAGCTGTCACCCGTTGCTTAATTAAAAGTCTTTAAAGTATGAAGAGTTTATTGGGATTGGGATTTGGGATTTGAAGAGTTGTGTGTATGGTGTGTATGTGGATATACATTAAATATATGCATACATACATGGCTTCAAAATGTAATGGACTGGTTTGGACAAAACTCAGCACCACTTTTTCGTGTGGCTGTTGATAAAAATAGGATGGCCAACATGATTGTCAACGTCCGATGACAGGTACGGCACAAGAAGAAGAAGATGCATACATTTAAGTTTACCAACTCAATTTAATATATTACCAATGTTAATAGCTGTCTCTTGCTTGTCTCCAGTAAGAATCCAAATTTTGATATCTGCTTTCATGAGTGTTTCGATGGTTTCAGGCACTTCGTCTTGTAGCTTATCTTCTATGGCTGTAGCTCCAAGTAACTGGAGATTCTTCAGAAAAAACACGAGAGAATTAACTTCCTTTTCTTAAAGCAAGCAAGAAATATAATTTAGATTCAGCACCTGTTACTTTAGCAAAAACACCTTAAACGAAGGCACTTACTAATGGAAAATTCTTAGTATTACAGTGAAATGGCTATTCCACCTTTCACTTTTTAACAAAGTCTTTTTTTTTGCAAGAAAAATAAAATCTCGTAAGAAAAAAATTCAAATGAGCTCCAAACAATCGCTCCTTGTGACAAAGACACAAGACAGTCTTCTCTGCTGGATATTGAGCAATGAGAGACAACCATCTTGCGTGCAGCTATGGTTGGTGCCTTTTAAATGACAATTTAAATCCTCAAACTTCCCTTTTTTAATCACGTCTGGAGGTTTCTTGTCGAGTACTTTTAAGGTATTAAGAGACCTTTCGATCGAGAAGTCTGAAAACAAGAGGTAACCACCCCCTTTTAAAAAAAAATATATTCAATCACTGCTAAGCTACAATGTTCATTTATAATAAAAATCTACATAAATTAATTCAGATCTCAGTTAAATTCATTGCATAAAGTTAAGCAACAAGGACCACCTACTTTTTCAATTAGTTCATAACTCTCTTCAAGTTTCAGAGCTCTGTTTTGAATAGAAGTTGTAGCTTTTTGATAGACATTCAGCCACTCCTGATAATCACTCTCTGTAATCTCAGCCACAGCAAAGCAGAGGGTCCTCAGACCTATGAAAACAGCCACATAATGGTCCACAACTATGACTTCTCTATAAGTTTGGAACTTTGGATTCAAGCAGGTTATAGGCAAAAAAAAAAGTTTTTTGGGGGCTGTTTTTTTTAGAAGTTTGCAATCAGAATTCTGAAATGGAAATTCTGTCTGAATTTTCTGAATCTTTAAACCAGCAACCAGAACTGCAATACGGTGAGTCCTCGACATATGACAGTTCACTTAATGACTGTTTGAGTCCGTTTAGTTACAATGGCACTGAAAAAAGGGATGTACGGCCTTTTTCCACATTTATCACCTCTGCAACATCCCCGTGGTCACATGATCAAAATTTAGATGCTTGGCTACTGTCTTAAATGTCTCAAACTGCCAATTTCAAAGAGGCAACATCACAGGTCGTATGTGATTCTTTTGCTTGTTGACAAATGACTGTTATTTAAGTATACAGAAAATAAGCAAAAGGCAGCATTTATTGAGGTTAAAAAAAACTTTTAATCTGCACCATACCAGCTGAAAAAACAGAAGTAAGGTTTTAAAGTAGCAATAACAATAGCACTTAGATTTATATACCGCTTCATAGTGCTTACAGTCCCCTCTAAGCAGTTTACAGAGTCAGCCTCAACAATCTGGGTCCTCATTTTACCCATCTCAGAAGGATGGAAGGTTGAGTCAACCTTGAGCCAGTGAGACTTGGAGCTGCTGGCAGCCGGTGATCAGCAGAAGTAGCCTGCAGCATTGCATTCTAAGCACTGCGCCACCATGGCTGTTTATTGTCAATCATCATCTATTTATATTATTATTAATACTCAATTATTTATTACTATGCTGTTATAATTAAACAGTAATACTGTACTCACCTTCAGTAGCAAATAGCTCTAAATGTTTCAAGGTAATTTCTTTGTATTTTGAATTTTCAGCCAGACGATCATAAATTACCGTGTCCTATAGTAACATTAAACAGACTGAACAAAAATCTATTTTGTTGAGCATTAAAAAAAATGTAAAAACAAAACTAGGCCAGAAAATGATTCTCTGCAACAAAAACTCTATTTAATGTGTAGTATTACAGTTAATTATTTAATTAAAATGCATATCCCATTTTCCATAAAAAATTCAGCATAAGGAAAGTTCTTTTTTTAAAAAAATCACCACTATATAGCAAAAAAACCCCACCATATGTATTTTTATATTAATGCAAAAACTGATTGAAAACAATACTATATGTAACAACCCTTTATAATTTTAACCAATTTTGAACTATGAACTGAATGTATGGACGTGCATGCATTAGTTAAATCACTATTATTTTTATTATTAAAAATCCAAATGCGGCAGTGTGTATCAAATAAATAAAATTTACATCCAATAATGAAACATATAAAATTGTCTCCCATGTTTTTGGTTCTGTATTGGTAAGGAGACAGCACAGAATTCTGAATAATGTATTTTGGACTGTGAATTGAAACTTTAGGCTTTAAATTAAACATCCCCCCCCCCTCCAAAAATTGAATGTTGCTATTCAAAAGAGCCTTATGTAATGGAGCAGCACCATCTGGTGGTGTGGGTGGAGTAGTACACCCCACTTTCCATTAGTTTTAAGTTGTCCGTAGGTTTTTAAAAAAAACCAATTTACCAGTTGTTGCTTTACCTGGCATTTTCTTAACTTTGAGTATTTTTGCATTGTAAGAAAATAAGACTTTTATGTTTGATTCCCCCCTCCCAATTTCTTTTCTTTGAGTAAAATTTGATTTTGTTTACGTAAGGAAGGGGGGGGGGAACCACCAGGGGGGGATGGCCAATGCTTGTGCTCCCTCCTTCCCCTATCTGTTTCCCCATTGGGAAACACAAGGCAGTTGTGTTTCAAGTGTTAGGGGCCTATGTGTGGCGAAGATGCAGTTGGGTATCCGAGCATCTTATCTGTCTTATCCAAAAGAAAAATGAGGCTAGAAAAATAGGAAAAAAAAACTGGAATCTTTTAGTGATCAGGTTATCTTCTCCTAAATTTCGGGAGATTCCTTAGCACTGTACCCAAGAACTGGGATCCAAGGATGCGTTAAACCAGGGGTGTCCAAACTTGGCAATTTTTAAGACTTGTGGACTTCGACTCCCAGAATTCCTCAGCCAGCCAATTGTGGGAGTTGAAGTCCACAAGTCTTAAAAGTTGCAAAGGTTGGACATCTTGCGTTAAACAAACAAACAAACAAAATGCATAGGCATAAAACTGAAATCACGGTAGGGTAAAACCAGACTTTGAAGCGTGTTCCCCTCTTTCCACCAGAAAGGAGGCATCCCCCCCCTTTAAAACTGAAAAGAAAGACACAACTGCACCCCTTTCTCAGCTTAAAAAGAAGCCAACAAGAGGCGGAAGAGTTTCCTCCATTGGCTTCAGCCGAGAATGTGTCAGGACATTCTTTTTCGTGTTTACTGGTATAGAAAAAAAAAAAAAGCACAGAAGAGAGTGGCCTGACTAAACAAGTCATTATCTGTTTATTCCTTCCAATCCTCCTTGAGAAAATATCACTGGCAATCAAATTTCAGAAATTTACATTTGGAAAAAACAAAACGGAGTTGACAACTTACAGCTCCTTTGCAGTAGAGTCTCAATTTCCCGGATGGCGTGCGCACAATCACAGACATTCTTTTTCTAGAACTGGAAGAATTGAAAAATTGTTAACATTTTTAAGGGACTGAGAAAACAAAAGACATTAAAAAGGCCTATGTAATTACCTTGTAAATTCTAACACGTTTAGCAATTCGTATCTTTCTTCTTGACCCAGCTGGGGGGAAAAAAGCAACAACAAAAAAACTTTTAAAACTTCAAAGGCCTTTCTGATTTCTCAACGATACCCTTGACAGTTTACTAATTTAATCTACTTACAGATTCTATAATGACAGAGTCTGGTGTTCTTCCAGTAAAAACAAAACGGAGTTGCTTAGCTGCTCTAACTAATGCTCCTTCATCTGTAACAAAACACACACTATTATTTCACTGGCAAATCAATAAGGACAATAAACTAAACTGGTGGTTTTGACCACCAGAAATTTGATTTTTCATCTTCATTTTATTCACACGCAATTTCATTTCATTCATATATATTTTTCCACTACATTTTTTTCCAAGTTAAAAAGAAGCAGATTTCATAATTTAAGAATGATTCCAAAACAAGACTTCTATCATATAACAGCCTTTCCTGGTTCATGTAAAACAGAAGTTAAACTGGATCTCTGATAAGATCATAGTGCAGACAGAAAGGTATACATCCACCATACCATGTGCTAATGTCCTAGTGCTTTGTGGTGTGACCAGAACAATCTTGAACTAAACACTCTCAAAACCATAGAAATGGCAGTAGATTTTAGGAGAAACCCTCCTATACCACTCCTCTTACAACATTAGACAACACAGTAGCAACAGTAGAGACCTTCCTGTTTCTAGTTTCTATCATATCTAAAGACTTAAAATGGACACCTAACATCAAAAACATCATCAAAAAAGCACAACAAAGAATGTTCTTCCTGCGCCAACTCAGGAAGCTCAAAACTGCCCAAGGAGCTGCTGATTCTGTTCCACAGAGGAATCATTGAGTCTGTCATCTGCACCTCCATCACTGTCTGGTTTGGCTCTGCAACCCAACAAGACAGACGGAGACTTCAGAGGATAATCAGAACTGCAGAAAAAACAATTACTGCCAACCTGTCTTCCATTGAGGACCTATACACTGCAGGAGTTAAAAAGAGGGCCATGAAAATATTTATAGACGCCTCACATCCTGGACCTAAATTATTTCAACTATCCTCAAAATGATGCTATATGGCACTGCACATGACCATGGGGATGCTGTAACAGTCGTAAGTGTGAAAAATGGACATATGTCCCTTTCTTCAGTGCTGTTGTAACTTCGAACAGTTGAGGAAATGGCCATGAGTAGAAATGAGAAAGGGAGTGGCAAAGACATATAAAGATAAGTGTGGTGGCTACTTCCTTATCTCTAACCTCCAAGCATAGATATAATCACAGACTTTCACATGGACTTTTGAAAATCAAGATCTTCTGTCCAGAACAGTCTGTTATTCCGATGTTTGGTGGTATAAATTATGGGCATGCATTGTTCAACTAAACCGGCACGAATTCATTCTCTTCACATTACATTGCATGAAGGAATTCTACAAAGCCTATTACAGGCGTGACTTTGTGTGTGGTAAGTCAAAATGTCCCTTTAAAGGCCCACATTATCCCCAGAATAATGTTCAGCCTACAGTTAGCAACGCATCCTTTTTACAATAAACTCCAGACTAATCCAGCCATTCAATCTGAATATATCTTTAAGTATGTAATTGAACGTTAAAGCAGTTCAAACTTTTACATAGTTGAAAGCGATTACGGGCTGCCGCGTCAGCCTTACCTGGAGATGCCGCTTGGTAAACTATTCTGTCATCCTCCCTTTCTGGGACAGCTGTGTGACAAATGGCCATCATTGTCAAAAACTCACAAATTATAGGTGCTGTTGGCTGAAAAAACAGAAAACAGTAGAATGAATTGTTCTTTTGTCTAGAATTAAAAATCGTACAGTACAGACAAACAGGTGCAAAAATAGCTATACGAATATAAACATCTGGTTTTTTAAAAAAAAAAACAACAACGCTCATTCACCTTGGAAAAACAAGATGGTAGGGGAAATGACAGAGACAAAGAAAAGATATGCATTTTGTTTTAAAAAAAACAACCAACCCAGGTGCTTAATGAAGGAAAAGGGGAAGTGGTAGAAAAAAGGTTGTGAGTCAGAACAATGAGCAGTGTTCCTCTCCCTTCTTGACTGCGGACCTGTTTTTATGCATATCAAAACTCCACTCACTGATGGTTAAACCCTTAAGAGGAAATAAATATTGTTAACTCTTCTGATAATCACGATTTTTTTTTCCAGTTTTGATCACTACACTATAAAAAAGATGTTGAGACTCTAGAAAGAGTGCAGAGAAGAGCAACAAAGATGATTAGGGGACCGGAGGCTAAAACATACGATGAATGGTTGTAGGAATTGGATATGTCTAATTTAATGAGAAAAGGGCCAGGGGAGACATGATAGCAGTCTTTCAATATCTGAGGGGCTGCCACAGAGAAGAGGGAGTCAACCTCTTCTCCAAAATACCTGAAAGCAGCATAAGAAGCAAAGCATGGAAACTATTCAAGGAGAGAAGCAACCTAGAACTAAGGAGAAATTTCCGAACAGTGAGAACAATTAGACAGTGGAGCTGCTTGTCACCAGAAGTTGTAAATGCTCCAACACTGGAAGTTTTTAAGGAGAGATTGGACAACCATTGGCCTGAAATGCTATAGGGTCTCCTGCTTGAACAGGGAGTTGGACTAGAAGACCTCCAACTCCATTATTCTGTATTTATTTTATTAGAGTTTTATCCTGCCTTTATTACTTTGTAAGTAACTGGCAAATGTACATAATGCCCCTTTTCCCTCCTATTTTATGTTAGTTTTGAAGTTATTATTTATTTTGCATCAGCGTGTTTCTGCATCTTACATGTTTGCTTTGCAGATTTTCCAGTAATGATGAGTCGCTAAATGTTTTTTCTTCCCTTGTTTGTGGACTCTGGCTAAAAATAAAAATGAAAGCAATGAAACAATTACTACATACTGTATATTTGATTTCAAAAAACCAGCTTCATTAAATCATGTAGATTCTGTTTACATCTTTTTTGAAATAATGGTTACACAAGATTTGTATTTAATTTGTATTTAAGGAGGCAGCTCACATTTTAATTACCATCCACATACTTATAGTTTGATTAAGTAGTACAACATATTTAACTGGGTTCAACATAAAATGATGATAAATATATTGAATGAAATATTAGCTAATTTACCCTTTCAAATCATATCAAAATCAGACCTTTCCCATGGATTAAAAATCAAGTCAGCCTCTGATAACAAATAATGGTTTCCTAGACATTGAGTTTTGATGAACGTATATGGATATTTTTGATAATGCTGTAAAATTATACTGTAATGCTCTAATAATTCTAATATGAAGATTTCAAAACCAAGTTATTTATATTTGAGTGAAGTAATGTTTAGTAAAGCTTACTCACTCTAAAAAAATGGATGAGGAATAAATTATCTTTGCAATTGATGAGTCAAATCCCACTTCTCAATAGAAGAAATGTTTATTTGAAGGTACTGTTTCAGAATTACTTTCTCTATATACACTCAGTTTCAGTATGTTGATAACAGTTATAGATCATTGCGAGTAGAAAGGAAATAGCAACAAAAATTAGTGCTTACCACTCATCCGAAGTACAGCCGAAATCATCCGTCTCAGGAGAATGGCTGTATGAAATGTAAAGAAGGCAGAACAACATAGAGAAATAGCTAAGAAAGCTAAGAAAGGCTTGAAGCTCATCAGTGAGAAATTAAAGCAAAAAAATAATAATCACAAATGATCTAGTGACCCATTAATGCCATTGAAACTGTAGGTTTTTAAAAAGTGATCAATGTTATTTGGAGTCCTATTTAATTAGGGCCCTGGAGTGCACGGCCTGCCTTACATAACTCAAGCATGCAGCTCTGGCAACTCCAGACCGGGGGTTTCCAATCTTGGCCACTTCAAAGCTTGCAGACTTCAACTCCCAGAATTCCCCAGCCAGCAAAGAAAGGGAAGGCGGGGATGGGGGAGGTTTTAAACCTGAGGACAAGGCACAGCCAGGTGTGGTGTTATAAGAGAAGAGGAAGCAGGAGTCCAAGAAGGGTCACATGCGTCAGTCTATAGCACTAAAACTTTTGGTTCCAATTTCTATCGTGTTTTAAAAATCCAATAAATGCAAGTGTGCACGTGTTCTTATAGATGGACTTTGAACACAGCAAATTCTTTTAACTCCCATATCCTGAAGAATTTTAGTACAGGACATCCTTGACTTACAATCACAATTGAGCCCCAAATTTATGTTGCTAAGTGAGAAATTGGTTAAGTTTTGCCCCATCTTACGATTTTCCTTGCCGTATTTGTTAAGTGAATCATTGCGCTTGTTAACTTAGTAACATGGTTGTTAAGTGAATCTGGCTTCCCTGTTGACTTTGCTTGCCAGAAAGTTGCAAAAGATGATCACATGACCCCAGGACTCTGCAACCGTCACAAATATGAAGCAGTTGTCAAACATCCTAATATAAATCACATGACCATGGGGATACGGCAACAGTCGTAGGTGTGAAAAACAGTCAAAAGTCGCTTTTTTCAGTGCTGTTGTAACTTTGAACGGTTACTAAAGAAGCTATTGTAAGTCGAGAACTATCTGTATTAGTATTTTAGTATTCTAGTCTTCAGCATCTTGTATTTTTAATAATTAACAATCCGACAATCAGCGGCTCACAGGAAAGAGTGCTATAGAGGTTGCTAAAGTTTAAGTGAAAAAGCATCTGTGTGAAATGTCTGGATTGATCATTTGAACTCCACAGCTAAACAGATGAAGCTGACTTAAGAGTTATATGACAGGCCATGAAATAGTTATGCATCAGAGGCTTTTGATTGTCTTTGAGACTATTTTGTTTTTAACTTAAAAGATCCTGAAGAGATCTCCAAAAGTATTTTAATGACATTGCAAATGTCCAACTTTTTTTTTTTTAAGGTAGCAAGGTAGATGAAACCAAGCAATTACGTAAGAAGAGAACTCACCCGTAAGATATTCCTGCTATAGTGCACTTCTTAAATTGCATAACGTTGCACGTCAAGGTACCTGTTTTGTCTGAAAAGATGTATTTGACCTTTAAAAAAAGTAAAAGTAAATGTTCTTAAATATGTTTCACTCAGCGTACATTAATATGACAACACTGTTGTAGTAACACAATGTGGTTTCTTAAATTATTCAACATATTGAAAATGCTAGCCCAAAATTGTACAAACACTCCCCAGTATTGGGTACTTTTAGACAACAGATCCATAAATGGGTCAGCTTGGAATTTAGCACCATTTTTCAAAAACTTCACAAATTAGGAGTACTGGGATCTCAAGAAGGATCACTTGAAGATTTATGTTCTGTCTACATGGATGGGATTAAACCTAGTAGCAGCTGTTAAATAAATAACATCCTCTTTTTTGGGAAGTGTCCCTAAAGCTGCTGTATAGCAATAGCAATAGCAATAACAGTAGACTTATATACCGCTTCATAGGCCTTTCAGGCCTCTCTAAGCGGTTTACAGAGAGTCAGCATATTGCCCCCAACAATCTGGGTCCTCATTTTACCCACCTCGGAAGGATGGAAGGCTGAGTCAACCCTGAGCCGGTGAGATTTGAACCGCTGACCTGCTGATCTAGCAGTAGCCTGCAGTGCTGCATTTAACCACTGCGCCACCTTGGCTCTTATATCTCCGGGAACTCTTTGTCTTTTTGTTTCTTTCATAATATTTTATTGAACTTTAAAAAATACAAAGATGAAAAACTAATTGTAAGTGTTGCTTACTGAGAATATTTGTGATATCTTGTCAATAGTTCCGGTAATGAGTCATTGCTAAAAATGGCACTTAGGCTCATTTGTTTTTTGTTACCAGATCTGTAGGACTCTTTATAAATGTTCTCCTGTTCAGAATAGTGGTTGAATTAGGGTATTGGTATAAATGAGTCTCATTAGGCTCTGGCATGTTGCGGAGAATCATCCCTAGGACAGGAGTGGGCAACTGTGACCCCTTTATGACTTGTGGACTTCAACTCCCAAAAACTGCCAGGAATTCTACACTGGCATATTTGGGGGATAAATGTAAACACAGTCCATTTAAACATAGGATAGAGAATGTTTGCATTCTACCCAGTTATCAGATAAATGACAAAGGAGGTGGTTGTGTGAATTTAAATTAAGAAATCACACATTAATAAAACAATAGAACTCCTCCCTTCCCCCACCAAATCCAAAATACCTGGCCAAGTTCTTCATTAAGATTGGACGTACGTGCCATGGCAGCAGTGTCTGTAAGTTCATAATGCATGTCAATATCCTAATGAAATAATAATAATAAAAAAGCTGAAAGGGCTATTAACTTATGCACACATTCCACTGCAATCTGTTTTGAGCAAAACATTAAGCAAGAACTTGGCATTAACTAAACATTTACCAAAATTGTATTCCCATGTGTAAATATTGAGGATAGGATGTGGATATAAAGTCAGATATAGGGCTAGGAGGTAGACTTCCATTATTGAGAATATGCATTAGACTACTCATCATCTGACTTCGTAGTTTGTATTAGACGTAAATATGTTTTTGTAAGCTTATATCTTAAAAGGTTTAGTTGTAAGGGATTTCATTAGCCTATACCATTTAAAGCCTCCAGTCATGTAACATTATATTTTGTGATATTTTATCCTGAAATTTAATCTGCACTATTTTAACAAGTAGCTTGTATTATCAAATATTATCAAACAACATATATTCTATTCTTGAAATGAATTATTAGAAAGTCTGCAAATAGCACAATAATTTTTATATTTACCCAATTTATAAAGTATGCTTGAATAAATTTAACAACTTCCAGTGTAACTAACAGGCTGATCGGAATTAGATTATTGAAGAGAATGATAAATGTCAGGAAATTAAGTCCAAAATTATTAGCTCCGCCATCTGTTAAAACAGGGAGAACAAAGAGAAATCATGCATGATTTATAACATTAAGTACAATAATTCTAGAAATTTATTTATTTAAGTTTTTTTTTTTTAAAAAAAAACTATATATAAAGCCCTTCTAATACCCTGGTTCCTATGAAACCTGCTCTTGAATCTGATTATTTGCCTTGGAAAGAAATCTGAATAGAGGTGTCAAAAAAACCCAACAAATTAGAAAACAGAAGTTAAACTGGATCTCTGTTAAAATCATAGTGCGGACAGAAAAGTATAAATCCACCATACCATGTGCTAATGTCTTTGTGGTGCTTTGTGGTGTGACCAGAACAATCTTGAACTAAACACACTCAAAACCATAGAAATGGCAGTAGATTTTAGGAGAAACCCTCCTATACCACCCCTCTTACAACATTAGACAACACAGTAGCAACAGTAGAGACCTTCCTGTTTCTAAGTTCTATCATATCTAAAGACTTAAAATGGACACCTAAAATCAAAATTGTCATCAAAAAAGCACAACAAAGAATGTCCTTCCTGCGCCAACTCAGAAAGCTCAAACTGCCCAAGGAGCTGCTGATTCAGTTCTACAGAGGGATGATTGAATCTGTCATCTGCACCTCCATCACTGTCTGGTTTGGCTCTGCAACCCAACAAGACAGACAAAGACTTCAGAGGATAATCAGAACTGCAGAAAAAACAGTGGCTACCAGCTGCCCTTCCATTGAGGACCTGCACACTGCATGAGTCAAAAAGAGGGCTGTGAAAATATCTACAGACCCCTCACATCCTGGACACAAATTGTTTCAACTTCTACCCTCAAAATGACACTATAGAGCACTGCACACCAAGACAACTAGACACAAGGACAGTTCCCCCCCCGAATGCCATCACTCTGCTAAACAATCCATTCCCACAACACTGTCAAAATATTACTAAGATTGTATTATTTGTTTTATTTAGTCTCCTAGGATTATTTATGTTGATTGCTTATTTAGTATCCTATGACTATCACTAAATGTTGTATTTTATGATTCCTGATAAATGCATTTATGACTATGATCATGATTTATCACTTATATCTTTATGCACACTGAGAGCTTATGTATCGGAGACCAATTCCTTGTGTGTCCAATCACACTTGGCCAATAAAGAATTATGTTCTGTTCTATTCATTTAGACTCTTTGAAATAATGTATGAACTGCAACTACGGGACAGGGCTTCACACAATTTCTAATTTGAACCTGGACAAATATGTCTTCTGGTGAATTTGTATATGGTTATGCAAGTGCGCGCACACACACAATTCTTCAAGTTACCAACTATATTAAAAATTTCATTTAAAACTTTTAGTCAATATTAACCATAATACTGTTTTAAACAGGAAGGACGCGTCACACACTTATTTTACTTTATAGAAGTAAAGTAAGATAGAGATATCATTATGGCACAAAAAATGCACTTGTTTTAAGCGGCTTACAGGTTAGGTTGATGTACCAGTCTTTTCCTTCGTGCTTTTGATTCCATATAGCTGCACCAATGGAACAAACTAGAGACATGGCAATAAGAATGCAGAACAAAAACAGAATTTGTATATTTGTAATTCTTTCCACATTAGACAGCTTAAGAGGTGGGCTTGTTGAGTTCTGTGGAAGAAAAGGAGGGTCCACAAGTAAATATGACATCCACATGCTATTTTATTTCCTTTTCTTTAATGTCTAAGGATATTTTCATGCTTTAATCATCTTATATATTCATATCAATTACTGATATAGCTTACTAGCCGATAACCCGGCGTTGCCCAGATATTTATTTATAGGGGAGAATGTCAGGACCAAATGTAATTTCTAATGTTGGATTTTCCCCCTTACCAGAGAGAGCCCCCTTGTGGAAGTACTGTGAAGCCGTTACCATGGCAACTCCATTGCGCTGCACAATAGAAGCCATTTTAAGGCACAACAGGCTGTATCTTAACAGAACACCCACCCAGAGGGGTGTTAGGGGTGTCTCACCCCCACAGTATTTCTCTATAGAGAGTAAGTCATCTGTGTACCAAGTTTGGTTGAAATTGCTCAAGGCGTTCCAGAGCTATGCTGGAACATACATACACAGAGCTGTTTTTATACATGTAGATTCTATTCTATTCTATAAAGGCTTGAAAAACACAGTACAGTTTTAACTTAGGTGGTACATTCCACTGATGGTGTCAATAAATAAACAATAGGAACTACTGTTGAAATAAATGCTAAAAAGAGTGATACATTAGATTTTTGTAGCCATATGAGACTGTTGTGGCACTTTAAAAATTAACAAATAATTGAAGTGTATGTGATAAGAAGGTTGATTGTCTTTTATGTAACATGGGATTTTGTTGTCCTATAAATAAATTACTGCCGATTTAATTTGACAGTAAAATAAATGCACACTTTTATTTATTAATTTATGAGTCATATGTTTATCCAGTGAACTGAGAAAGCGAAGGATATAACCTTGATATGTGTCAAATGATACCAACGTATTTACCCAATAATAATGAAGGCCAACTATTTTTTTTGATCTGTATAGCAAATTCATGGTGTTAAGTGTTCCTTTGTGCAGATAGTCCCCAACTTATGACTATACCAGTCTAAATTTTTTGTTGCTGAGACAGTTAAATGAATTTTGCCCCATTTTACGACCTTTGTTGCCACAATGGTTACGCGAATCTGCTATCTGGGAAACTGCATCTGTCATAAACATGGGTCAGTTACCAAGCATCTGAATTTTGATCATGTGACCATGAGGCTGCTGCAACGATTGTGTGAAAAATGGTCATCTCTTTTTCTCAATGTTGTAACTTTGAACAGTCACTAAATGAACTGTTGTAGGTTGAGGACTACCTGTATGGTCATGCTTCCAATTTATTACCCAATCGGGCGACCTTTTGCTCCTGTCCATTATGGCATAAATATAGATCAGAAGGTCCAAAGAGCTTTAACATACAAGGTTATTCTCGGTTAGAAGACAAACCTGCATAAGTTTTGTATCATGTCCTGTATAAACAACGATTCCATGAACCCACTGTGTATTTCTGAGTTGAGCACCACGCAGGAGAATCTGGTCAGGCCCCAGTGGGACAGTCCTAAAAGAGAAGACAGCAAAAATTAAGCCACATTGAATCGATCACAAAATAATTCTTCAGAAACATTAATATAGAAACAGATTGGGTTTTGGGGGGAAATTCTTAGGCACATTAATTAAATGCTACTTTTTAATGGGAATAATAATAATAATAATTAATAAGAACATAATTTTTATTCTGCCATTGGGTATGTCTCTTTGCATTGTACACAGCTAAATTGCTATTTTGTACTCATATTTTTATCGTCCTGTCAATCCTTGCAACTGATCATTGCATCCAAAATTGAGTCACACCCTGATTTAATATAGGTCACACGATTAAGCCTCACCATCATTTTCCTTGTTCATTAGGGATATTTTTTTAAAAGAGTGAAAAAGACAGAGGTAGTACATATTAATCAATAAGGCCTCTTGTACCATTAGTAACAGTACTAGAAAAAGCGTTTCAGTTTATCAGTTTAGCTTTTAATCTTTATTTGCTGTCAGGTGATTAATCTATAAAAGGGCTTGACTTCTCTCTCCTTCTTTTTTCTTTGTGCTGCTGATAAAATCAAGCTGCTACCCATTTTTGTCCAGGGAGCATCGTAAATTTTGATATATGATGTTGTTTTTCCCTTTGGTTCTTCCTTTAATGAGTTTTCTTTTCCATGTTAGTGAAAACCATCCGGATGTTAAAATGCTGCTGAACCCATTGAAAGGAGGTCTTCTGCAATCCAAGATTTCATCTTGGATGGCCTGGAACCTATGCCAGAATCAGCTGAACTTTGCAGGCCTCACTTCTTAATATTGGGTTTTAGGTACATTTCTACTGAATGGGAAATCAGGATATGCAAACCATTTCTAACACAAAATAGTCCCCTGCAAGTAACATCCTTTTGCCACAGAGACTTGGATTGTAACCTCAGTTAGTATTGAATGGAACTAGCTAAATGGAATAGAGAATATGGCATTAACCACGTTTCTCAGAGGCTAGATCTTTTTGTACATCCAGGTTATTGTTGTTGTTGTTGGTTGCGAAGTCGTATCCGACTCATCGTGACTCCATGGACAAGGTTTCTCCAGGCCTTCCTGTCCTCTTCCATCCTCTGCAGTCCATTGAAGCTGACACCGACTGCTTCAGTGACTCCATCCAGCCACCTCCTTCTCTGTCATCTCCTCCTCCTTTTGTCTTCAATCTTTCCCTGCATGAGGCTCTTCTCCAGGGAGTCCTTCTTCATTCTCATTAGGTGGCCAAAGGATTTGAGTGTCATCTTCAGGATCTGGCCTTCTAAAGAGCAGTCAGGGTTGATCTCCTCTAGGACTGACCGGTTTGATCGCCTTGCAGTCCAAGGGACTCAATGCAGGAGTCTTCTTCTCCAGCACCAGAGTTCAAAGGCCTCCATTCTTTGGTGCTCTCAGCCTTCCTTGTGGTCCAACCTTCACAGCCATCCATTGCAAGTGGGAAAACCACAGCCTTGACTATATGCACTTTTTCTGGCAGGGCGATGTCTCTGCTTTTTAGTCTGCTGTCTAGATTTGCCATCCATACATCCAGGTTATGTTTATTGCTATTAAATTCTTCTAGATGAAAAGTAAGCTCGTAGATTGTAACATGATGTTGCGGATTATGTATTTGCTGTGTGCTTCGTGTTTTCTTTTGTGGACAAACACAACCATAGATAATTCCTGTTGTGCTTTTGTTGATAAGAGTGCCACTTAACAAAAATGTGTGTGGTTCATGACCATTTAGAGATATTCCCGTTATGGTTGTTGAGATTTTCCAGCAAATTATGCTTTTGTATGTTGAGCTTTGCCAGCAAACAGCCAAATACAAAAATGTGCGTTGTGCATGTGAATAATAGATGCATTGTTACATTTGTTGAGCTTTTGTGCTGACAAATGCACAATTGTGCTGCTTTTTTGTTTGTTTGTTTGTTGCATAATGCCAATTATGCTATGCCTGCATAGAAAGTGGTCTCAAGCTAATGGAGGGTTTTTCCTGTGGATTCACAAACACAGTTAAAACTGAATACATTTCCCATTTCTGGGTTCAGTTCTCTGCTGCTTGTCCAAGCAACATTTAGGCTTTAGAAATGTTATAAAGTATTGCTTCTATAGTAGGCTATAGAAATACTTACAATAATCCACTCTTGCCAATTTTTCTGTAAATTGCATGATAGTTACTACTTAATTTTGTTTATCAATGACTACCTTGTCTCCAAGCTTGAAAATTAAGAAAGCAACCGGTTTGTTTTGAGTTTCCATAAATAGTGGAAGTTTCAAAATGTCTCAACTTTCCTTTGGTCTGAACTTAAGACATTTGAAACATTCTAACTGAATGTTCCAATTGTTTCACAATTTGTTTCACAAATTTATTTTTGTTTTGCATCAGCTCCTTTGGGGAAGGAGATACAGATAAGTGAAGGACTTACAAGTTTGCTTAATGGTGGTTCGAAGGTACAATGGCACTGAAAAAAAGTGACTTATGACCATTTTTCACACTTATGACTGTGGCAGCGTCCCCATGGTCACGTAATTTACAATTGGCGCCTGACAACTGATTCACATTTATGACGTTTGAAGTGTTGCTTCCAGCTCTATTATGATTCTGATTCTCTAGCATAATGGGTGTTTTAGGATGCTTGGAGTAAAATACTTATTGAGGTCCGAGTAATGGGGTTAAGGAATCAGATAAGAGAGGCATTCATTTTAAGTTGTTAAGATTAGAAACAGGTCTAGGAAGTGAATGTGTAAAATGAAGAGTAAAAGCCAAACCATAATTATAAATACTTGTAATTGTTTTCATGATTAAAATCTGTTCTGTTTCATTCCCTTTTTTTCTCCAAACTTTAAGGTTTGAACAATTATGCTGAAATAAAATGGCCAAACTTTTTTTTTTCAATGGCAGGATGAATTAATATTTACTTATAAAATGGGTTCAGGAGATGGGAATTAGTAGAACTTTAAACAGTGAAAGTCAACTGAAATGAATACAGCTGACATATACATTAAAACGCAGCAATGAAAATATTCTTTCCATCAATATCAATATTCTATTTTTTTATAGATTTTAGAAATATTATGAAAGAAATTGCACTCAAAGGTTTACATACCCATGGCTGTCTAGTCTAATATTTCCAACAAAGTCATAGAGATGTCTATTAGGACTCTCACATTCAATTTTGCCTGAAAGTCTCACCAAGTTGTCAATGTCCCTTATATCAGCGGTCAGTGGTAAGCCCTGTTTGAATAAAAGTGTTCATAATGTGATAATGAAAAATTAAGAATAAGTAACACAAGCTTATGATTTCCTATATGTATATGGGTGTTTACATCTATTTATTAATTTATTAGTTGCATTCACCGGTAATGGTAAATCATATTATACCATAATGTGTATAAGCAAATTCATCCTGCACTTAGCTTCAGTTTCACAAGCTCTTTTTTCCTTAATTCCATATAATTATCAAGATATTGAAAACTGATTTATTTTTATTTAAGAACAGGATGTCATATTGTTTGGAGCAACAAACTGTGCCTCATATAAATTATTGTCAGTTAGAAACACAGGCACACAGAAATTTATCTATTTAATAATGGTTTTAAGTGGTTCATAATAAAGTTAAAGACAGAATGGAAAGATTCAGAAATATCACTCTAAGCCAAAATACAAACTGCATGACTACTGATTAAACTTCCAAGTTGCTTATAACGATAGTTGCCATAATTCTTTGCACGGCTGACGTGACAAATTTAAGACAATTAAAAGCAAAATTTCAAATATTTCTTCTGTGCCCTAAGCTGCATTCGCCCATTTCAGCCCATGTATGTGCAAACACACTTTTGCACTGGCCCTAATCATTTATCAGCTGATAACGTATTCATATTTTAAGTATAGATTTTCATTATAAAAAATCTGTTTATCTTTTTATGAATGATACTGTCCTCTCGTTTTTCTTTCCCCCTCCCGGATCACCTGCAGTGCCTAATTTCCCACGTAAGATTTTTCACAAAATTGAGTATAAAGTGAAACGCCTAATAAAACTGAAAGGATTGAGAAGACTGCAAACATAAAATTGAAGCGTTATTAATTTTTATACTTGCATTCTGAAAATGCAAGAAGGGATATATATTATCAATATTTTACAGGTAAAACTACGCTTCTTAAAATGCGGATTCTTCTTTATGTAAATAACAGACTAACATCAATAGTATGCAATACACTTTGGATCAGTGCCTACATCTCTTGAGGACTTAAATGAACGTTCCTGTCCCTTAATGCTTTTTTTTTTTGCTTTATACTGTGAACTATGCACTGAGAATTATCTTGAAGCAATATAAAGTAAGATAATAGAGAGGGAAAAGCATACTTCTTACCTGTCGTATTTTTAAATTAGTTTCGCCATCTAAATTTGATGTTTCAATGTAGCACATAGCTTGCGGCTCACTTATAGAAAAGAGAAGATCCATTTTATAAATTAAGCAGTCCAGAATCTATTTTCACTGAAATACAACATCATTCTTTAGTTTATATTATTGTCATTAAACAAAATATGAACTAATTTACATTTTCAGACAATGACCTTTAAAATATGTAAAGAAAATTATTCATATTGACTTCATTAATGACCGGTAGAAATTCACTGACTCTAGATCTTTGTTGGACAGAAAAAGCAAGCTAAATAGTTTGACAAGAAACTAAGCTTGCAATCCATAGGTTTGAATAACATAAATTCTCTAGTTTTTTTTTATAAAGTAACACAAAATAAATAATTATGCAACATATAGGAAGTCCTTGACATATAACAGTAATTGAGCCCAGAACTTTGATTATAAATCATTGCAATCACAAAGCAGGCCAAAAAGTGACTGCACCTGATTTTATGACTTTTGTGGTGATCGTTAAGTAAATTTGTTCTATTCAGGAAGTAGCTGGCAAAAAATTTTGACAAAAATCACAGTCAACATAACTGTAATTGAATGCCTTGTATTGTAATTGCATTGTAATTAAATGCATTGCATGAAAATACCACCTCTCCCAAAATACATATAATGTTGATCTTGCATTTATGTCAAAAATACATACATTTACATTTAGTAAATGTTGAATATTTAGTAAAGTTGCAAAGCGCATCCATATTTAATCAGGAATTTCTTCACTTTACACTTACGTTTTAAAGGTCAGTTTTTTTGAAAATGTAATTGACTGATTACAAATTAACATGCAAATTATTTCAGTTTCAGTATATGAAACATATTTAAATCCGGACATATTTCATATGATTTAACGAATATACACTGTGTTTGCAATCTTTTATACATCTATCTAGGACAGTGGTTCTCAACCTGTGGGTCGGGACCCCTTTGGGGGTCGAACGACCCTTTCACAGGGGTCACCTAAGACTATCGGAAAAAACATATTTTCAAAAAAATACAGAAAACATAAAATAAATTTATGGTTGTGGGTCACCACAACATGAGGA